TGAGCAGAACTCATCAATTCTTTCCTTACCAACTCCCACCTAATGCCTGGCCCCCAGTTGTGTTATAGGTCCCAGAGGATTCATTCTACTATTCTACTCTTGTTTAGGGCTGAAATTTTCCATCATGCAAATATGTAAAATATATACATTTCCAGGCCTTTTTCCTATTCAGAGATTCCAATTTAGTGTGGGTACTTGGTGAATATTTTTGAATAAATTTAAAAATGAAATTGGGACTAGCTCATATCTGTTCCCAAAATAGAACTATATGTGGGGATTCAAGAAGTTAATAACTTTTATGATTGCTTATCTAGTCAGTTTCAATACCAGTTAATGAAGTCCTAATTCTACTACCAGGTGGTCTTAAACATTCACTGAATTTCTTTATAAAGCTCTAGTCTGATCACAATGGAATGAAATTAGAAATCAACGATAAACTAAAAAGTAGAAGCTACTCTAACAAATGGAGACTAAATAATACACTATTGAATGATGAATGGATGATAGAAGAAATCAAGGATGAAATAAAAAAAWWTCTTAAAGGTAAATGAGAAGGGGCTGGGGTTGTGGCTCAGTGGTACAGCACTGGATTTGATCCAGCACCATATAAAAAGAAATAAAATAAAGGTAAATGAGAACACTGATACAACATATCAAAATCTCTGGGACACTATGACGGCAGTACTAAGAGGAAAGTTTATTGCACTGAGCACATTCATTAATAGAATAAAAAAATCAACAAATAAATGACCTAACTCTACATCTCAAAGCCCTAGAAAGAGAAGAACACATCAATACCAAAAGCAGTAGAAGATARGAAATAATTAAAATCAGAGCTGAAATCAATGAAATCAAAACAACTGAAAAAATTTACAAAACAAAAAGTTGTTCTTTGAAAATATAAATAAAATAAATAAACCCCTAAAAATACCAGATAAACCCCTGATCATGCTAATAAAAAGAAAACTCAAATGTCTAAAATACAAGATGAAGGAAATATCAAAACAGACATGTCTGAAATACAGAAGACAATTAGAAACTATTTTGAAAATTTATACTCCAATAATATAGGAAATATAGAAGACATCGACAAATTTCTAGAGACATATGACCTACCCAAACTGAATGAGGAGGTCATACACGATTTAATCAGATCAATTGCAAGTAATGAAATATAAAACGCCAACAAAAGCCAACCAACCAAGAAAATMCCAAGACCAGATATATTCTCAGTCAAGTTCTACAAGACTTTCAAAAAAGAATTAACACCAATACTCCTCAAAGTATTCTATGAAATAGAAAAGGAGGAAACCCTTCCAAACTCATTTTATGAGGCTAATATCACCCTGATACAAAACCAAAGACACATCAAGGAAAGAAAGCTTCAGACCAATATCCCTGATGAACATAGATGCAAAAATTCTCAATAAAACTCTGGCAAGGGGCTGGGGATGTGGCTCAGGCGGTAGCGCGCTCACCTGGCATGTGTGGCCCGGGTT